CCAGACCCCCATCCCTTTTTGTGATTTATGGATTCATGGAAAAAAAATCGTATGCAACTACTCAATTTTTTTTAATGTATGTATACACACATAAAGCCTATATACTGTAATAACAATAGGATAAATTTACCTGACCGTTTTCAAGAGGGGAAACCTTGAATTTTAAAGAACTTAAAAGTAATTAAGACACCTCAGAAGTCGGGAAAACTCATTTCCCGCCTTCTAAGAATCAAAATGTTTCCGGGGGAGAACCCCCGGATACCCCTTTCTTTTTGGGATTTATGGATTCATGGAAAAAGTCGTATGCAACTACTCATTTTTTTTTTATGTATGTATACACACATAAAGCCTATCTACTGTAATAACAATGGGATAAATTTACCTGACCATTTTCAAGAGGGGGAACCTTGAATTTTAAAGAACTTAAAAGTAATTAAAAGACACCTCAGAAGTCGGGAAAACTCATTTCCCGTTTTCTAAGAATCACAATTTTCTCGGGGGAGAACCCCCGGACCCCCCTTTCTTTTTGGGATTTGTGGATTCATGGAAAAAATCGTATGCAACTATTCATTTTTTTAAATGTATGTATACATACATAAGGCTAATCTACTGTAATATCAATGCAATAAATTTACCTGACCGTTTTCAAGAGGGGAAAACCTTGAATTTTAAAGAACTTAAAAGTAATTAAAAGACACCTCAGAAGTCGGGAAAACTCATTTCCCGCCTTCTAGGAATCAAAATATTCACGGGGGAGAACCCCCGGACCCACCTTTCTTTTTGGGATTTAGGGATTAATGGGGAAAAAATCGTATGCAATTAGGCCTACTCAATTTTTTTATGTATGTATACACACATAAGGCCTATCTACTGTAATAACAGGGATAAATTTACCTGACTGTTTTCAAGAGGGGAAACCTTGAATTTTGAAGAACTTAAAAGTAATTAAAAGACACCTCGGAAGTCGGGAAAACTCATTTCCCGCTTTCTAGATATAAAAATTTTCCCGGGGGACGACCCCCGGATCCCCCTATTCTTTAAACCTTGAATTTTGAAGAACAAAGTCATTAGAAACTTAGCTTAAAAGTCGAGAAAGTTCATTTCCCGCCATCTAGAAATCAAAATTTTCCCGGGGGAGGACCCCCGGATCCCCTTTCCTTTTTGGGAAAAATGTTGACCCACATCCCCTAGGATTTTACAGATCTGCATGATTCATATTCCCATTCATCTTATAAGTGGGCCCCCCACTTTGAAAAACGTTCCGCCGGCCCTGCTACCCATTAGCAATTCAGCAGGTGTCTTGCCTGTTGAAGGATGAGGAGTCGTTCTATACACAGCTAAATATCGTGTAAGCTCTCGTTTCCAATCTTTCTTCATAGTATGCGCTATCTTAAGTCGCTTCAAGATTGATTTATTCTGACGTTCAACCTCCCCATTTGCTTGTGCCCACTTCGGTGTCATCTTCTGATGCTTAATTCCATTTACCTCTACAAAGTCTCTAAACTCTCCTGATATGAATTGTGGGCCATTGTCACTGACAATGACTTGCGGTAAGCCATGTCGCGCAAACATAACTTCTAGCGAACGTACAGTTCTATCAGCTGTTGTACTTCTCATAATGTCTATTTCATAGAACCTACTGTAATAATCAACAACGAC